TGAATCTACTCCTTCATTTTTGTCCGTAAATTTATCATTCAGAGTGGTCGTTGAATTCTTCGAGACTCATACTTATCTTTGGAACGCGAGCAACGGGACAATTAAATATATGTAAATATATATATATATATATATATATATATATATATATATATATATATATATATATATATATATAAACATGAATGGTATGCACATTTTTTCCTATTAAGTCTCACATCCGTCTCTCTTCGAAGATTATGCGTACATGTCTATCTAAGATTGATTCCTTGGCTGCACGAGTACACGTCAAACCGACGACCTTCCATCTTCCAAACTGTGGAGAAGGTAACGGCATGCACGCGCGCACACCAATATATCTATGTACATAAGATGGAACAATGAAATTTCATCATGGAAACTGATTCGTAAGGCACTGTCTATTACTTCTTCAACCAAATTTGATGGACAGATTCAAGACTTTAACTTCTCTAAAGCTTTTGTTCCAACACTATGACGTCTGTCCGAGCTGATATTTTTCAATATACTTCTTTTACTTTTTTTCCTACTTCTTTTATCTCCCCCCCCCTTCCATCTCTCTCTCTCTCTCTCTCTCTCTCTCTCTAAAATCTCTCAAAAATCGGTAACTTTTTAATGTAAATGATTCTTCGATTACCCACCAATATTAATATTTAATAAGATCCGAATTCGCGTATAAATAAAGGGAAATTTTTAATTATTGAACGGGTGGCATTTAACACTAAAAATTATCTAAGCTCTTAAGAAAAATCGTGAGATGAAAGTTAAGAGAGAAAAGTATTTGTTATCAGAGTAGAAAATGTTTTGGTTCTACCTAAATAAGAAATTGATATGCAATCTTAGAACATGTAAGTTGGAAAAATAGATTACCAATCGCGCGCGAAAAAAGCGGGAAAATAAAGAATGAAGCTAGCTATTCGATATAGTTAAGGAGTGCTAAGTTATTGAAAATCAACAATTGTTAGATTTTCTTTTGGAATTTTAAATATCAAAAACAGATTGTCTCTACAACTTAATGTCAATAAATTTATGCGTTGATAACATTCTCAGCGCTATTGTCAATTTTTATTTCACCATGTTTTTAGGACGAGAATAAAAAAAGAGAATGGTTATTAATATTGTTTTGTGAATGTTTATAAATTAAAATGCAGCTACTTATTTCATTTGGGTAAAAAGTATATAACGGAAGATGAATAAAAAAAGCCTATGCGTGTGCGTTGCTTTTACGGTCTTTTCGCACGAAGACGTAAATGAAAAATCCTTTATATGTCGGCGTACTCGCTTATCGGTACTTTATCAGTCCAAGTCATAGTATTTATGTGTGCGCAGGGGGAGGAGATTCTGAAATGATTGCATAGATCTATTTTTTTGCCTTAACATGTACGAATCTAGCAATTTTAAACGAAAATTTAATACTACTATTACGATTATTTAAAATACCGATTCTCCTGCGGCGATCGATGACTCAATTTAAGATGACCTTAGTTTTTATTGTCTGTTCATTTAAAGCAAAGTTTATAAAAGATACCTTTAAACAACATTGAATCGAACATTATTCTAATTAACGAGATCTCTTGACGTAAAAGATCGTGCATAAATATTTATAGAAAAAAATCTTCAATTTGTTAGAAGTGGCAAAACTTATCATAATAATGCAACTATTTGCAATTCGATTATTCAATGAAAATAAGTATCAGATAATGTTTCTCTGGAAGATAACAAATTTATCATTTATAATAGTGATTAATTTTCGAGCCAATCATAATATTCTGTATTAAAGTAAGTTGAACTCTCTAATCTAATATAATCTCGTTCCTTCCCCGTGGCAGCAGCTATTTGAATTTATTTGTCCGCGTTGGTGTGTCGCGCGAGCATTTAGCCTGTGGCTCACTAGCCAGGCCCCTGTGCTTAATTAATGATTACCAGGAAACGTGTCTGGCTATCCTGGGGGCTTTTCATGCGCGCCCCCGAATTCTCCCTGCCTCCTCTTCTCAGTCCTCTCTCGACCCCACGCGCACACGTACTCACGGATGGCCGCGAATAACTCACTGACGTGTACGATCCTTGTTGAACGGTTGCCGCTGCAGCCGATGCAGATTCCGGCCGATAAAACTCGCTCTCTGTCTTTGACCGCGTGTAAAGTTGGGGTTCTTCGTATAAGACGGTCCGAGAAGATGCGGAGGAAGGCGGCGAGGACATTCGGGGAACGTTGCCCATCGAGATTCCAATGAAACTGTTGTTCGCGGTCGGCTAATTAGACGATTAATTGATTTTACCTGGTCAGCCGCTGCTGTTGTTGTTGCTGCTGGCGCTGTTCATGCTCGTACTCGTGATGCTCGTGCTGACCTAACTATATTTCTTTTTATTGCGCTATCTGATTGTTTAATGGAATTATCGTCTTTAGCCCTCCCATTACACGATGTGACTCAAGGAATATTTCCACAGCTATTAACATGTACATCGCTTACTGCCGATGTACATTCTCTCTTCAACATGATTGAGTTATGTATTTTTTTGTGCGTTTGTGCGCGTGGGCGTATGCCATGTGTGCGCGTACGCGTAAGTGTGTGTATCGTATCCTAGTTCTCTGCTATTATTTTGCTCAATTTTCTCCGACGATCTGCAGGTAATAAAGTTAATTTAATTTTTTTTAACAGCAATACTCTCAATGAGCAATAAATGACTTTTATACCAAAATTAATTTAAAATCTATATCTTATAAAGATTAACATGAAAATGAAAAATTTATCAATCGCACGGTTCTCATATCTATTTAAGTACTATTTAAGTATTACACTTGCATAAGTATTTAAGCAATCTCATGACAATACAGCACTCATGTCACTTCGCACCGTACCGATAAAAAGATACTAGAATCAGCATTGAATATAGTCGAATATAAAAGCAAGTTATAACTAAAGATTGTAAATTTGTTTGATAGGGAAAGTGTCGTGAATTGAGACGAGCGATTTTCGTGATCGATTTCGTATTAAGAAAACCGTGCGGTGTATGTTGAAGCAGCCGACAAGAACGGGCGCAGCGCCGTTAAGGAAATATAGAAACTTTTGTTTCCACCACGGACACACGCGCATTCCTGTTACGAAAACAAACCCGTGCGCCAATTAACGAACGAGATTATCTCCGCTCGTACGAGGCGGAGGGGGTGGCGGTAACGCATGCCTTTATCTCGATTGGCTATTTCAAGCGCGACTGTCTAGAAGGATGAGAAGATGTACGAGAAAATTGCCGAAAAAAGGTAGCTTACAAGACTCGATCCAAGTGGCGTTATGTCTTACGCATTCAGAAAATATATATGAGAAAATCTGAAAAAATCTGCGTGGTATACGCGATTCAAATCAACGAGATAACTTTATTATTTTCTTCTAATTACGCGATGCTTTGACTTCCTCTTAACTAATAGTAAATTGTATGTTATATTCATTAAAAATATTTGTTGACATTTAACTGAGAGAGTACAAATAATATCTCTACCATTTACATTTAACCGATAAGGGCGCAAAGATAAGAGCAATTTGGATCGAACAGTAGAACAATTCTAAAGATGAAAATAAAAAAGCTTCCGTTCTAGCCTGTACCTCCCAGGATGTTTGTCCTAGAGAGGATATTAAGTCTGTTAGCCTGCTACGTAACATATACTAGCTGAAAACTGTTCCAGGGACGACAATGCCTACCTATAATAAGTCCACTTAAGCGCGGGTTGCGCACGCCGAGGCAAATCCTCCCAGAAGTGGATGGGTCGCGAAACGAAGTATCGGATTGCTATTGTTGCGGCGGCCTGTACCGAGGATCAATTCCCATTGTCGCCGGTTCCCATTCTCCTTTCATAAGCTAATTTCTGTTCCTACGTATCGTCTTTCGATCGACCTCGGCTTTTCTTCAATATTTTTTTCTTTTTTTTTCTTTTTTTTTCATCAGCTTTGCGATTCTACATTTCGCCCCATCATTTGTTTTCATCATGCGTTTCCGCGCAGATCGAACGCACATTTTTCGTTATTATAGTCACTACAGCCTGGCATTATGGGCAACGATACTTTATTGTAGGAAATAAGTCTTTAAAACGAATCTTCTAGCAAGAGATATTACCCTATAATGACCAGGATGTCAACATTGTTTTAGCATCCCCTCGAAAGTGTCGCTAAATATTGTGCAGCGTTTGCTGAAATTTTTTCGACAATCGGAAACGGAGAATACTGCGTGAACAAGTTCAGCAAGGGTCAAACGTTCGCTAAGAGAAATATAAGAAAGGAGTTGGAAGGGTTTCCGCTAGCTTCCTGTCTCACACGCAGTTGAGCACGTCCCAACATCCTCTACTTTTTCACGATTTTGGCGTCAAAAGCCTCGACACCCCCAACAAAATATATACGGAAAGAGACAGATATACCATCATCCTTAATTGCCGACACTTCGACGACCCTCGAGAAGGCCGTCAATTATGGGAAACTTATAGCCACGTATGTAAGTTCCACGTACAGGATAACACTTGTGCGATCAAATTTCGCGACTCGTGCGACCGGGAACCAAAATACTTGAGGATGCATTGTTTCCATCTACGTATATCGATCGATTTAGAGAAAATACTTGGTCGTTGTTTTTAAGTCGTTATATTTACTGTGTTGGATTATTTTTAGGGGAAAAAAGGATGAGATCATTGCGATCATTAGCAGATGTTAGCTAAGAAAGGTGCGATGCCGATATTTTAAAACTCTTGTTTCATTTAGAGCCTCTTAAATATCCTCATATTGATGATCATCTTAATCAACTCTTACATTTTTGTCATATTTATTATGATACTCATAATTAAAATAATAATAATATATACATACAATTCAAATACACACAACACACCCACACGCGCGGGCGCACACACATACGCAAACGTATACATATGTATATATATATATATATATATATATATATATATATATATGTCCGGATGATGATATACTTCAATGGCTACTTACGTTATGTAGTTTGTAGTAGAGACCACAGGCGTTGCAGACTGGCTCACCCGCTTGATTTCTTCTCCAAAGGGTTGTTGTCGCCGTTTTACAGTTTGCGCAGCTCGTACCTGCACGTCTGGCTGCACTTTGTAGCGACTGTACTCGCAGAAAGAAAAAAATATTTATTAGCACATTTTTAGAACTTTTTAAAAAGTCTATATAGGTACTCTGCCTAACTAATATCTGGTCGAATACTTTGAATTATAAACTATTTATCAAATTTGTGTATTATGATTTTATAAAATTTCTTACTAAGGAAATCATTAAGTCGTTCGAAGAATGCAATAACTGATCATCGTATTAAAAGCAAAAAAAAAAATAATATAATAATGCTCGTGTTATAGTACAATTGGTTTATGATGTTGATTTCGTCGGCAAATGAAAAATAATAATGAAGATGACTTCTGGTCTCCTCTTCCATTCAGTGGGCACTAGTGTGCGTACTAATAAGAAAATAACATATCGATTTCGCACTCACGCAGTGCAACCATAACAACAAAAATGAAATAAATCTATTCTTCGCGAGACAACACGCGCACATAAGTAAAAGGACCAAGACATAAAAGATTGGGCGGAGAGCCATGCCATTCGGAGTGAAGCTGAAGCGCCAAACGTAAAGCAGCTTATGATTTATGGGCTGAAGGAATGACCGCGAGAATGACAAATGACGTCGCGTGGGTGAACTGGGACCCGTCGTTCGTTCGACCAACACGACTGTTCAAAAAAAAAAAGAAAAAAAAAGGAGAGCTGATACTTCCTTGTGATTCGTAATCCTTTTATAAAACTAGAGATGAAGAATTAGAAAAGGAGACGTAGAAGTCAGAGGAAAAATAATCGATTGAGGGTGTGTACTCATTTGAGAGCCTCTTTATTTCTTTTGCTATTTGTGCTTTTACGTGCACGCGTGCTAGAAATGGCGCTAAAGAGTCTTTTTTATAATATAACTTTTTTTATATATACAACGCAATCGAAGTACTACTCAGGACTTGGTACCATGTTCCCGATACCTGTATACCAAGCTTGCGTACCTGCCAGCTTACCATCGATCTCCGGAATGGCGAACACTTAGCGAAAAAATCTATTATCCCAAAAGATAATAAGAACTTTACTTTGTAATTTACTAGTACATGACTCGAAAGCAAATGTCTTTTCTGAACTTAAATAAAAAATTACTTTTATTTTTAATTAATATCCTAATATTTATCCATGAATTTGAGGGTATATTTATTTTCACGTTCACTTTTATATTTTATAAATCATGAACCAAGTGAACACTCATCTACCAGTTGTTTGTTTTTGTCTTAGATATAAAGTGGGTGTAAAATCAATATTTTATCAATATTCTCAAATATAGTGTTATTATAAAATAAAGCGTATAGAATACAATAATAAAGAATCATTTATATACTAGTTTTACTTATCCTGCTTTAAAATTATAAAACATTCGAGTGAAAAGCTAATTGCTTTACATAAACCAGAAAATATATAAGATCGAAAATTATGTTGTATTGAAAGATTGCACTAGTGAAAATCATTGAAGTCTTATTATATAATGTAGTAAATGCCATTATTCGAGTGATTTTGAAATCTACTTACATCACATTCACATTCATCAAAGCTGCTATAGTGACAATTTAATACATGCTTAAAAGTACAAATAATAGTTATGCACCGATTGGATAATCTTCTCGGGTGAGTGTTTACACTCTATTTTCTTTATACGAATTTAATGTACTAAAAGAAGTGTACGTAAAAAGAAACAGCATACAATGGCCACTATTTCGGACCACTTAACCTCTGAAAAGAAAGACCTGGAGAGCGTAAGAGAGAGAGAGAGAGAGAGAGAGAGAGAGAGAGATTGAACTAGACGAAGACGATACGGAGCATTCGGCATGATTTCTTTTGATGATCGTGTACCTGAGAGACACTGGCGACACGCCGCCGACGAAAAACTAGCCCTCGTATAATAGCAAATTTATTGAAATTTTCCTGTAACTGGTGATCATTGTTGGACAGCCTCTCAGTCAAGGGAAAATTACGAGGCTTTTTGTACTCGCCGCCGGCATCTTTCTTTGCGCTACGTCGATTCGTATTTTCCACGCCCAGGAAGGAAAAAAGAAAGAATTTTGAAAAGTGTCCTTTTTGTATTTTCTTGAAAAAGTTTCTGTGCATATTTCTATTATTATTTTCTATTTTAAAGTAATAAAAAAACGTAGAGAAAATGCTATTATTTATTGATGGAATTTGTTAAAGAAAGATTTTAAGTCAATTTTATAAGTTCGCGTATCTGCTTTAATTTTGTTTACAGACTTATGCCGTTATATCTAATGTATCTAATATATTTCGAAAAATAATACAAAAATTTTAATTCTTAAGTCAATCATATCGTAGGTAAGTCAATAAAAATAAATTAGAGCTTCAGGAAGATTTCTGATTGTTATATAAGGAAAAAATTTGAAAAACATTCGTCGTATTCCTTTGCTTTTTACAAGTACGTTAACAATTATAGAAAAACAATAGGAAGAATCGGCAGCAAACTGTCTAAAATTCTCCTTAAGGCCTTAACGACTACATTGGCAATTACTAGGGAATAATTAAATAACAATCCACCGCATGCGTTAAAAAGTTAGATTTTAATAAAAACTGTAAAAATGATTTAACTATCCACTTAATTAATAAAATGGAACGAGCTTAAGAATAACATATAGCGTAGATCGTGTGCAATCGTGCTTTATCACTTATCAAGCTTAGGTTGCGCAAGAGATGACTGGCAAGGGTAAATGTAACGGAGGGAGGTGGTTTCCGCTGACGCAGGAATCAATACCCCAGAAGTCACCGGCCATATACTCCTGAAGGCAGGGGTGATCTCCTATCTGTTCTAGATCTTCTAAAGATTGCAGGGGATTTTCGTGGCTTCAGAATTGCTCAAGAGCTCGAGCACGAAAGTCAGGCTTCCTAGTCAACTACTGTCAGCCAGGCAACTACTGTCTACTCAAAGTTCAACTGATAAAGCAGTTTTTTAATCGTTTTAATTCGGCATCAAATTCTCATCAAGTAATTTTGGGAATGAAATTTCGTATTTTCATACCGCGCTCAAACATCAGTTTAAGACATTCTACGATTGATATCGAAATTTGTTTCATTATGCCTAAATATTTTGGAATCGGCGCAATGATTACAGTTCCTGCATGAAATTAGAAAATAGAAAGAAAGCGTCGTTCCTCCGATCTTATCGACGATACTTATGTTCAACAAGACAAAATATAACGATCTTTGCAATAGGCGTAATTAAGTTTGGCGAAAGAAGCTTGAAGTTTCTACCCGTGGCAGCTTGCTATTTGCATTACCTAGATTAACGATTAACCTCGTTGGACATTCGTCGCAGTAAATTTGGAAAATGGGCGCTCGGAAGCACTGCTCACCCGATTCGGGCGGCTGTTGGAGCCTCGAGCGTGAGACCGGCAATTTATTATGCAAATGGCCCCTGCGCACACGTACAAAGGACAATACTTTTGCACGACTTGGAGATGCTGCGCGATGTTGTGCCAGGCAGCAAACCGGTTGGCCACTACTCTCGGAGGCAGAGCCCCGAACACTGACGGATATGACATTTCTCAAGTTCTCACAGGCTCCTTTTACCTCCTTTTACCACTAGCGGCAGCAGCACCCGCTGCGAAAAGCAGTTCCTCGATGCCGCTTCTTCGTATACCTTCCCTTCCCCGACCTTCCTCTTTCCCATCAAGCAATTCCTTTACATTTATTTCACTGCCGCCGCTGCTTCTGAGTATTACGACTTCTCCCGGTGCGCACTCGTTGCTCATTTTGTGCATGCATCTACCGCCGAATGCCAACGACGGAGCTTTATTAATTCCCCGTCCACTTCTCACTACGGCACTGGCCTCTGTTGCGCTTCGCTTTCTTTGTATCGCTGGCAGCGCGCCTCTGTTGCTGTAGCTTTTCAAAATTGAAAAGTCGAGTAGCGCGATCATGATGATAATGCCACGGTATGCTAATGAGCGGTGAGCTGTGATACGCCGCATCCAGATCGATCAATAAACTGGCACGGATTTAAACTTACTAGATTGATAAGTCATCCTCTTAACTTAAAATTACTCGTAATATTTAATTTCTAGCTGAATAAACTATTTGACTCGTATAGTAAAGTGCATTCCAAACGTTCATAAAAAATTATTAAAATCGAATTGCAACTGTTGAAATGCTTACAGCAATGTATAACTTGATCTTATCATTAAGTTAGATTCGTTCAGTTGTCTGCATTGAAATTGGGTGAATGTTTTTGTCTAAAAAATTCTTTAAAACTATCTATGAATGCCGTACTAGAGCACCTAACATCATAAATACACTATACGATTGCTGGATCGTCGAAATACGTAAAAGTCTTGCGTTTGCAGCATTGAAAAAGCATTAAAAGCTGACCGACTATCTATACTACCAACTAACAATCAAATTTGTCTCAATCGATGGTATGTATTACAGATTTTTCCTTACTAACAAGTGCTGGCAATCAACTATTGAATTATCGTCACCAGACGCTGTGCAATCCCACATCTTCATTTTCTTCTTTTGTTCACACACCGCTGAGAGTTTAGGATACGCACTTTAATATCCAATAATTCTTAAATCAATCAGCGAAATGCTTTCCTTTAGTGATGCTGTGTTCATTGCATAATCCTTAATCCATTCTTTAATATATAAGCATAACGAAATACAGGCTTCACAACGAACCATTGAAGCGATTTAAAGCTCAATGACAGGGAACATAATAAACAATGGAATCAACTGCATGAAAATTTGGACAAAAGCTCTATTTGCAATATTCTTTATCAATTAATAAAAATCATAAGAAACATATCGCTATTTTTATCTCCCAAATTTTTCCATGCTCTTATAGCGCGGTGGATTATCATTAAGATATCTTATTATGCATTGGCTTTATTTTTTATTAATGCAGAACAATGAATGCAGCAATAATTCTGCAAATGTGTAGAAATCGCGGAGACTCTTAAGATAAATCGGTAATTAATTAAAAATCTATAGTACAAATGGGGATTTAAAGATTTAATTATGAGAAACGT